CCCCCGTCAGATTCAGCCTCAGAAGACATCTCACGAGACTTGCGCTTCGTGGCCTTGGGCTTGGGCTGACTGCTCATGATTGCACGCCGCAAATATTGGAGGTTCTCGGCAGTCAGCTCCACCCACAGCAAAGACGAGCCAATATTCTTGTTGAGAACACGCATCTGGAGCGGCCCGCTACGCGTCACCACTTCATCCAAGTAGTACTCAATGGCCGGGAGGTCGATCGCAATGAAGGGCAAATGTGACTGGTTGGCAGCTCTCTTCAATGCCTGATTGGTGAGTTTCCTTGACTTTTTCACCGAGTTCTCATCCTCCCAGAGATCATTGATGGCTGCCTCAATGGCTTCCAGACACTTCTGCTTCAACTCTGAGAAGAAGATGACATCCATCACGCTTGCCCTCAACCACGGTCCCATTTGCCAAGTTGAAACCAGTCTCTCTCGTGCTCACGCTTTTGGACAGGCTGCCACGTGAAGCTGCCAATGCACACATGCCATTTCTGGTGCATGGTGAACTCCTTCATTGCCATGTTTGGTGAAAGATGTTGATTGGACACCGATACTCAAAACTATACGGGTTTGATCCATGAATATGTCAAGACATGTCATGTCATGTTCAAAGGTGTACGACCACATGCAAAGACTCTTCCATGCTGTCAGCTCAGTGGTATAGACAGTTACCGCATACACAGTCATAAACTCGTGATACCTTCGCAATTGTGTCCTATATATGTTGCTCATGGAAAGTGTCATGCAACGAGAACAGGTCTGTCTCTCATGGTCTATCTCTCACATGTAGCAGGCCAAGCGCGTAAAGCTTTTGGCGCTCACCGTGCCGTCAAACGCAACCCATGAATAGCACTTGATCCATCGATCTATCTACGTCCGTTGCCTCTTCTTTGGCTTCTCTTCAACTCGAGACTCTTTGGACTCCTTAGCAATCATCAACCCCTCACCTGGCTGAAGGATCCTGATGTTCCGCACGCATGGAAACTGAAAGGCTTTGTTCTTGCCGCTCAGATAGAAGATCTCCTGGCAAATGTCCACTCTTCACAAACCAAAACGGAGCCACAAATCGCCCATCCTCATCGTTCTCATCCGGAAGGGCAGTGAGGAGACAACCAAATAGTCACCTCTGGCATCATGGTTTGGAGCACTTCATAGGTCTCCTTCTTGTCACGCTTGTGCTTGGCCTGGATCTTGACAGTAGATGGCACAAGGATCAGCTTCTTACTCAAAATCTTCTCCTTTGCCACCAGTGCCTTCGACGGCTTTGTTTGGACCTGCAACTTCTGCGTGTGCATCTTCTCAACATGAGATTCGGATAGGTCAAAGAGCTCTCCCATGATCATGGCCTTCAAGCGGTGCACTTGAAACTCAAGTGACTTGTGTGGCAGCCATTCTTCTTTGAAGTCCAAAGCAGAAGGCAAACCCTTTGGAGTGAAATGCTGCCACATGCCGGCTTCAAACTCAGACAAAGGCACCTTGCTCAATAGGCCTTTGCCACAATCAATCTTGACAGTCTCATGAGTGATCTCCGTGATGATGCCTACAAGCTTGTCTTTCACTCGTCTGCATGACTGCCCTACAGCCCAACCAGCTTCTTTCACCAACACTGAAGGGTCCATGAGCTGACCGTCTTCTCCAAGCTCATGGAGGCTCATCGTCGGCTCTTTGGAGCTGGAAGGTACCTGGATATATGTTATAAAATATATATGACATGCGTGACATGCATGAACATGAACACATGTTTGACACATCAATGAGAAATTCACGCCACCAGACAAGTTACCGACTCCAAAGCATTTTCCAAATCCTCCGCTGACCATCGATTTGGAATCTCATGGCCAGTCAAGGTTGCGAGAAGCTTGATGACGTCGTTCGCCATGGCATCGGTGCTCTTGTACACCTTTTGGTCTGGCTGCTTGAGGCCAAGGACAAATTGGACAACGGCCATCTCAAAAAAATCCGATTGCCGTGCAGCACTTCTGGTCATACAAATACGAGTCTCCAAACTGCTTGGAGCAACCTGACCTCCAACATGAGGTCATTGGCTTCTGCCACCCTCCGCACCATGTCCTTGCTGAATGACCTCTTCACATCCAACGCTTTCACCCCGTGGAAGTAGCCCTGCTTCAAAATGGCGTGTCGCCATCTCACAAGGGGGTTGGTGGCAATCTTGGACTCCTCAACCAGTGCCTTCCACAAAGGAGCACCCAGCTGAGTTGACTTGGTGTTTGTCATCACGAACTGCTGGGTTTCTTGCATCATGTTTGCCTTGGCGCCTCCTGAGTACCTCATGACAAAGGTCCACATGTCTGACAAGCTTGCAGCAAAAGCTGGCTTGCTTGCCAACGCCCGCCGCTTCACCTCTTCGAGATTCACCCTTTCCCCTTTTGATGTGCTCAACGCACATGGAGTGCAGCCGCTGCAACATTTGCATCTCGCTCTCCCCGCGGTTGAGGGAAGTATTTCCAACCTGTTGCAAGATCTCTGGTAAACGTGGAAACTGCAATGCGATCCACGAGGGAATGATCTCCCAGACCACCCCTCCTGCACAGCCTGGAAGAAAGCCGTGTCAGCAAGAGGAAGAGCGTCTTGGCTCAGCCTGCCGTTGACAGTGACCTGCTGGTTCTGGCTGTGTTCAACTGAGTCCACAAAGAGCCGGAGGACGAAGTTGGTGTGTGAGCCGCACACAGACAAATACCTCGTCTGTGCCACATCGGCAACTCCTAGCTGGCCACCCGCAGACTCGATCAGCTTTCGGTTGAACTCCAACTCTTCGGGGCCTGTCACCTCAAAGGCCAAAGCACTGACCAAGCTCGGGACAAACCCTGTGTCGAGAATGTCTGCCAGCAAGGAATGTACCTCGCGCACCGCTACCCCAACTCCATCTCGATTGCGCGGATGCACCCCAACCATCTTTGGCGTCAGGCGAAGCTGGAGCAACACTTGCTCCTTCCTCAACAAGGTCAAGATGCCTTCTGCTGACTTGACCATGGAAGTTCCAGAAAGAGCCCTGTCAATCAGCACGTTGATGGTGGATGTCACTCCCTCTGGCAAGCTGCGCACACCCTCCATCTTCTCCATCTGTCAGGATGAGATCTCGGTGAGGAAACGCGTGATCACTCAGAGCCAGCTATATAGCAGCATGAAGTTGACATGAAATGTGCACATGCATGATCATGCAACACAAGCAACGAGTGAACAAAATGGAAGAAACTCATGGGTACATGTCACTCCGCTGCGCAAGAATCTCCCAAGACTGCAAGACACTTCAAGGTAGCTCTGCACAAACACTGTATATAATGACTTGGCATGGCATGACATACACTGCATTGCATGACATGACACGGCATGGTATGACATGACATTGCATTGCATGAAGGCATTACATTGCATGTGAAAGACGCAATGAAACCGTCAATCCCGCTGCGAGCATATAGCCCTGCAGCGTGTGTAAGATTATAGTAACTACAGCTGTGATACTTAATAAGTAGGACAATAAGTATACATACTAAGTCCAGCAACCGAAGATAGATAAGTAGCACAAGTACAACATTAAGTCTGCTAACTACTTAGTAACCCTTGTAACTACATAGCAAGCACTACGCCCATGTAAGTAGCAAACGACACCATCTATTTCTGCCCACAAGAGCGGTCGGAACGGGGCGCTGTGCAGCCAAGCAAAATGCCTGACGTCACCTGGCACGTCGCCTTCGGGAGCCCATAAAACAGTTGCCTGGCATTGCCAGAGGCTCCCTCCCAAGGCTCCGGCAATCTGTGTGCCAGCGGCTCCGTCCCAAGGCTTCCGGCTGAGGTGTGCGTGTAGGCACCATGCAGCCGGAGCGGCGTGCAAGGGGCGGATTTCCGGGGTAGCAAACGACACCATCTATTTCTGCCCACAAGAGCGGTCGGAACAGAGCGGTGGGAACGGGGGGGGTGCAGCCAAGCAAAATGCCTGACGTCACCTGGCACGTCGCCTTCGGGAGCCCATACAGTTGCCTGGCATTGCCAGAGACTCAGTTGCCTGGCATTGCCAGAGGCTCACTCCCAAGGCTCCGCCAATCTGTGTCGCTACAGCTTTCATGGGTTTCCACGCGTGCAGCAAACCAGCAGGTTTCGCAGTGAGGGCATTGCCAGAGGCTCACTCCCAAGGCTCCGGCTCAAAAAAGCCAACAGCCCACGGGGTGGTGGCTCGGCCAGGACATGAACCGCCCACGGCTTGGTGGTAGCAGCCCACGGGGTGGTGGCTCGGCCAGGACATGAACCGCCCACGGCTTGGTGGTAGTGCCAGGACATGAAAGCAGAGGTAGAGGATGCCAATGCCAGGACATGAAAGCAGAGGTAGAGATGCCAATGCCAATGTTGCACCCTGCGGTGTCTCGGGCGCCTCCCCGCCTAGGCTTTGGCTAGGCCGGGGTCGGCGGATATATATATATATATATATTAATGTAAATTTTCAATGACTTAATTGTTGTTACTTTTTGGTTCTGAGTCGTTGCTAGCCAGAACATCAACAAATGGAAAGTTCACCACGCGGGGGACATTGCGGGCGCTAGGGCGTTGGGGGCGTTGCAATTGACCTTGGTTTTGGAATCACGCAAACATTGTTGTTATTAGGTTGAGGCCATGGCTATTAGGTTGGAGGCCATCGCTATTAGGTTGGAGGCCATGGCTATTAGGTTTATTTTTTGATGCCATTAGCATCATTGTTCCTTTGTGTTCTCTTCTGTTTTTTTCACCGTGTCGTCCTGCGATCAAATTGTTCACTTGTTGCAGGATTTGCCCGATTTTTGATCAAGTGGAGAACCAGGCCAACGCGCGTTTTGCAAAACGTGTGCGCTGTATACGTTGTTTGACTGAGGACTCGCGCAGTTGCATTCGCAGCTTGGAACAAGTTGAGCGACAGAGTTTGAAGTCGCAAAAGGATACTCAGCCGGTGCAAAAGGCCTCCGTTGTTCCTAGTAGCACAGACGCTGGCACAGCCATTGTGCTACCGGACCCGGATCTCTTCCAATTCTTGATGGCGTTGCCTTGCAGAAAACGCTCGATGTGAGGGACAATTGAACATCCCCCACAGCTTGCGTACACCGGCTTCAGGCGAAAATTGAATTAACATGTGTTTCTGCTTTCAAAGCGAAACTCCCATCCTGTGCCTGTTGCCGTGGTGATTCTTCCACCTGTGCTGGTTGCGAGCCGGAAAGCTGTATGTCCAACGCGCAGCTTCACTTTCGAATTGATGAAACTTTTCACGACGGAGATGCGCTGGACGCAGCTCCTTCCTTTATTTTCGACCAGCATAGGGTTGGTAGCCTTCGAGATGGTCGGAAAGTGCCAACAGTGTGACGTCTCACGGTCGTCTCACAGACAGTACCAACAGTGTTGACTCTTTTCGTCCTATTTTGGTTGATTCGTCAAGAACGCTCTGACAGAGACGCTAACAAGTCCATCGCTACGAACGGGGCGCTCTGACAGGCCTTACTAGCTTCTAAAGGGCTCCTGGCCATCGCTACTAACAAGAAGCTAGGAACAACCTGGCCATCGCTCGTAGTAGCATTCTTGCTCGTAACCGTTTGAGACGCAAGCTGCACCCGCCCTTTTTCGGAGTCTTGGAGGCGCAATGCGGCGCAATGCGGCGCATGGGGACGAAAGAATCCGCGACGTGCGCTTTGACATGCGCTGGTGCTGGTCATGTCTTCCTCTTCACAATTGGCTTCTACCGAAAGGTTTTGTTGTACACATGTTTACTTCTTTTTCATTTTGGAACTTCAACCTCAGTTTTTCCTTCAAGAGACACTGCCGCGCTGCCAAAGAAAAGCAGCGAAGGCCCAGAACCACATCGCCAAGCCAAACGCAAGACTTTGTGAAGCTCTCCGCTTTTGAGCTCACTTGTTTGGGTTCCTATGTGCCTGATTTCCACCTCTGGCGTGTTTGATGCAAATCTCCAGGCGTGTCGATGATGATCAAGTGAGACGAAGAAGAGGAACTCGAAGCAGTGCGGATGGGTTGTGGTGCCAGCGCAGAGCCTCTCCTGCACAGTCCTTCCTTGATCGGTTCTAGTAGCGTCCTTGCTCCTAGTAGTAAGGCCAGGAGCCCCTAGTAGCTTCTTGTTCCTAGTAGCTACTTGCTGCTAGTAGTTTCTTTCTTCTTTCTGCCTTTTCTTCAGACCTTTCTGCTTTGCATTTTATCCATCTCAAAATGCTAGACCGATCATGGATTGCGCAATCCCAAAATAGCTCACCTAGTTCGTGGAATAGTTCCAGAGTAGCAAATTTTGAGAGTAGCCCACCTTGAGTTCATAAAAACGGCTCAGACTAGCTTACCAGAAAGATTCACATGGGGCGGAGTGAAGTCAGGAAAGGGAAACACAGAGACTCAGGGAGATATTTACATGCATGGATATGTCGGTAGGGTTGGCTTAGGGAATGAAAACAGCTACACAGACGGAAACTTGCAGCCCAACATTCTAACAGTTTAAGGAACATTTTGGGCGGCACATTTTCCTCCAACCTACTTGCGATGGCCTCCACCCTAGTAGCGTCCTTGCTACTAGTAGCGATGGCCTCCAACCTAGCAACAAACCTTAGAGATCACCGCGCACATGACACTCGGAATTCACTGCAGAGCCCTCTGCAGATGTCACATGCAAAGTTTATCAGTGTAAATCACTAGAAAACCCTTTGAAAAAGGCATTGTAAGAGTCTCTCAGAAGACTCTTCACACTTCAGAGGTCACACACTGAGATCAAAGGATCGTTCGATGGCCACAAGAGCTGTTGGAAAAAATAACTTGCTACATTGCCACCCCTAGCTAGACATGGATGCGCGCGGCGTCCACGGAGGAACAAGGTAAGCTCCCTTCTTCCATGTCCTTTTTTCCTTCCATTCTTTTTCTTATTTCTAGTAGCAAGGATGCTACTAGGAGCAAAGGGCATCGCTACTAGGAGCAAGGACGCTACGAACGGGGCTCCTGGCCTTACTACTAGTAACAAGGACGCTACGTTCGGAGCAAAGGCCATCGCTTCTGTTGGTATCCACAAGTCTCCAAGGAAGAGATCACCATTGGAGTCGTGACCCAGCGGAGAAAGGCGGACGGACGGGTTGCCTGTCAGGCCTCGGTTTTTGACCTTTTCGTCGAATTTCAGGGCAGGAAAAGCCAAGTCCTTGCGGAAAATGCCAACAAAGAGTATGAGGACGGCATCGCTAGTACGTTGGCCATCGCTAGTATCGTTAAGTAGCTACTAGCGAACTAAGTAGGTGCCTACTTAATTAAGTAGGGAGGGAGCGAGCTTTTGTTTCAAACTAATAAATAAGAATAAGAACAACCGAAACAGTTCTCCAGGAGAAGATTGAGTTCTTGCTCACCGTGCCCCTTTTTCAGCGACTCCCACAGGTGCAGAACTGCGAACTGCAGTTTCGAAAGATGACCTTCAACCTACTAGCGAGGGCCTTCAACCTAATAGCAAGCTATATTGATGATTTTCTGTTTGGCAACAGAAGAAGAATCAAAAACACTTATCGTGCTCTCAGTCTCCAGGACGAGCATCCGGTTGTGGCCTCCGTGTGTGAAAGCTGCAGGTTCAAGCGGGGTGACACCATCATCAGGAGCAGAACCGGTTGGCGGTTTGAAGCTGTTTGTTCTAAACAACCTTGGTCTTCGTTTAAAGGTTAAAGGCTGCCGCTGTGCTGCTGTCCCCTGAAACTGTATCAGCCTGTGAAAAAAAGAGGAACCGCGGAAAGCATCCTAGCAGAGATCAACTCCACTTCAGTGCCAAGACCGTTCACAGCCTGCACACTGGCTAGCTCGAAGCCCACTGCCAAGCGATGTAAAACCGAAACCTGAAGAAAGAATCGCACGGTTTGTAGCCGACCACATATGCGTCCTTTCTCCTAGTAGCGATGCCCTTGCTACCAGTAGCTTCTTGCTCCTATTAGTAAGGCCAGGAGCTCCTAGTAGCTTCTTGCTCCTGGTAGCAATGCCAGGAACTACTAGTAGCGTCCTTGCTCCTAGTAGTACTGCCAGGAGGTAGCTTCTTGCTCCTAGTTGTAAGGCCAGGAGTGCCTAGTAGCTTCTTGCTCCTAGTAGAG